ATATATATATATATATATATATATATATATAACTGAAAACTCTCTCTATATATAAAACTCTATATATATATATATATATATATATATATATAAATATATATATATATATATATATATATATATATATATATATATATATATATATATATATATATATATATATATATATATATATATATATCGCATTTCATACCTTTTCCGACGCCAGGGGTTGAAAAACCTTAAATGAAATATAAGTTCGCTTCCATCTTGAGTATGCACCTCTCACCTGGACTGCCTGCACACACACCCTCATCATTGTTTGACAAGGTGAAGAATCGTGCGACAAGGTTCATCGCTAATCATCGGCCGTTCTGATTGGACTGGTCTGAACATCAGTCTTCGACACGGGCGAGATGTTGGTGGAGTTCGTGTTATGTATAAGACCAACATTCTCCAGGTTCCTCACCTGACCCAACTTCGTGGACGGCAAGAAGTTTGCGCCTGTAACACAACACGCAAAGCCTTCAATAGCCTCGTGCTGGCAAAAATCTCACCCTGACGCTAAACCAGCCATAGCCTTCTGAGGTTATGTTATTTAATAAAATCGTTGTTATTTAATTATATAGTCGTAATGGCTTGGCGCTTTCCCCCCCTGATAATTCCCTCCCTCATAAGATTTCCCAGCGTCAAGAAACTGGGGTACAAAAGTGCCTTTATCCTAACCTACCAGAGGACCCAAAACAGGAAACAGGACAGTATATCAATTTCGCGAGCCGCTGCCATTTTCTAGTTCGACAATTTTTTTGGCCTTAGGGAGAGTATACGTCAAAATGCGACGTTCTATTAGGTTAGGCTGGGCTAAACACGCATGACTCAAGTTAACCTACAATTTGAAGCCTCTTTCACTTTAGCATTAAATCTAGTTGACTCGTTATAATTAGCTAATCAAATAAATGGGTTTCTGGGGTAAGACTTCAGATGAGCTGACGTAGGATAACAGCTCTTGCTTGCATTTTCCCTATGGGACATGCGCAAAATTTGTAATATATTCCTAGTCTTAGTTTAAAGGGAAAAAGAAGAAAGAGAGACAGATAGAAAAGATCATATATTTCATCTCCCCTATTACACCTGTTCCCAAAATGAGATATTTCCTGTCTCCAGTCACACAGCTGCTGCCTGGGGGACGGCGCTCAACCCCTTTATAATGGTAGTCATGATAGTGAACCCCTTTATAATGGATGTCATGATAGTGAACCCCCTTTATAATGGCAGTGAACCCTTTTATAATGGTTGTCATGGTAGTGAACCCCTTTATAATGGTTGTCATGGTAGTGAACCCCTTTATAATGGATGTCATGGTAGTGAACCCCTTTATATTGGTTGTCATGGTAGTGAACCCCTTTATAATGGTAGTGAACCCATTTATAATGGTAGTCATGATAGTGAACCCCTTCATAATGGTAGTCATGATAGTGAACCCCTTTATAATGGTAGTCATGGTAGTGAACTCCTTTGTAATGGTTGTCATAGTGAACCCCTTGTAATTGGAACTATGGTAGTGAATTCCTTATAATTGGAACCATGGTAGTGAACCCTCTTATGGGAGCCATGGTAGTGAACCCTCTTATGGGAGCCATGGTAGTGAACCCTCTTATGGGAACCATGGTTGTAAACCCCTTACGAGAACCATAATAGTAAACCCCCTGTGATGTTGGGGTGGATAATTGAATTATTCATTTCAATTTAAATGCAAGTCTACTGTATATTTAATTATTGGAATTAATTTCTAGCGGACTGTATAATATTGGTAACTTTCCACACAATTCTCACCATGGGGGGTGTGGGGGTGTTTATTATATGTTAATTAATAAATTCAAATCTTAGAGTTTATCTGGTAAATTGTGGAAATAAAATGTTTATTTACTGCTCTGAATTCATACTTAGACTGTAGACATTATGGCCACAAGCCAGATGTATGTACTCACAGTTATAATTAATACATTAGTTGATATATATATATATATATATATATATATATATATATATATATGCGGAAAATCCACAGAGAAATATGAAATGAGGTGAACGTTTCGGCTTTGTTAAAGCCTTTGTCAACACCAGACTGACGTCAGTCAGTCTGGTGTTGACAAAGGCTTTAACAAAGCCGAAACGTTCACCTCATTTCATATTTCTCTGTGGATTTTCCGCATAAAATGATCAGTGTTTTGTGATCGTCAATTGCATATATATATATATATATATATATATATATATATATATATATATATATATATATATATATATATATATATATATATATATATATATGCTGTACAGGTTAATTGTGTTAATAACGTGCTATTCTTATTTGGTTAAGATGACTTCTTAAGGTGTAGTAACACATATGATCGTGAATAAATAACACAGAGAAAATTCTAGTTTTCTCTAGTTTTTTCTCTAATTCTCTAAAAAATGTAGTTTAATTCTGCTTAGTTAGCGTAGCCTCATGCATAATGAGGCTACGCTAAACAAATTCAATTAGAAATGAAATTATTAGGGTTAGTCTTGGTCGACTCATCCTCCTGCCCGCGAAAATATTATTAACGCGAGAAATATACAGTTATGTAAACACTCTCACCTGTAATCAATAAAATTGGTTATAATTATTAAACGAAGTCCTACATTGATAACTTGGCTCACCTCCCTCCTCCTCCTTCCCCCCCACCGGGTTTGTGGGTCAAAGATTAAATTTAAATCGCAATAGGACGCAAAATTATTACCGATCATAAGATCAAATTTATATTATTAATAAAATATACTGTTCAAGTATTAACTCCGACTTCTTCTATGCTGGTTAATAATGAGATCCAATAAAATAATTTTAGTAGCCTAATCGTCTCAAATCAAAGTCGGAAGAGTTTGGCGAGTATTGCATTGATGCATATATGTGAAATTTATATTGTATATTATTTAAAAAAATACAAAAATGTATTGCGTCAGCTACAACTACGCATTTTATTTAAAGTTAGTTTTTTCAGAATTGTGGACGAATCCTCACAATTTGTTATTATTATATAAATATGTGTTATTATTTATGTTTATAGAGGGGAAATATTTTCCATACCGCTTATCATGGGAACCATGGTAGTGAACCCCTTATCATGGGACCCATGGTAGTGAACCTCTTATCATAGGAACCATGATGGTAAACCCTTTATAGGTAGAATTATGGTAGTGAACCAGATTGGGACGTGTTGTGCACAGGAACACGTCCAGGATTGTAACCAGATTGGGACGTGTGGCGTACAGGAACACGTCCAGGATTGTAACCAGATTGGGACGTGTTTTATACAGGAGGGACGAGAGCCGCCATGAAATTGAATCTCCCGATATTGGCTTTGAGGCAATTCCACGGCTGGGAAGTTTGGTGCAAATTTTTTGCTAAGGATTAAGTCAACAACTTTGGTAATACTGTGGTTAGACTTGTGGAATATTGTGACTCTGTCTGTTTCTCTCTCTCTCTCTCTCTCTCTCTCTCTCTCTCTCTCTCTCTCTCTCTCTCTCTCTCTCTCTCTCTCTCTCTCTCTCTCTCTCTCTCTCTCTCTCTCTTTTCCCCTGAGTGACTGTTTACGACAGAACAAACATTCAGAGACTTTGCTAACGCTGCGATAAAAAATAAATGCACCTTAAATCCATCAAAATAGCGTTTATTTTCTGCAACAAAATTTCAGCAACACATCTCTTGCTTTCCACAGCAACAATTGCTCCAACATTTCCAACCGATACAAACTCGAAAACATTTTACAAAACTGTGACTAATTCCAGGTAAAGTTTTGACACATGGGGGGTAACTACGTTAACAGAATGGGAGTAGCTGGGTTGGGAGTAGGCTGCTATAGGCCGTCAATATGCAGGGTTGGCTTGACTGGTGTGTGTGTGTGTGTGTGTGTGTGTGTGTGTGTGTGTGTGTGTGTGTGTGTGTGTGTGTGTGTGTGTGTGTGTATGTATGAACTGGTTATGACGAAACTCACGAAATGCACACATAACACCAGAAATTCACACGCGAATGCACACACACACAAAACATACATAATATATACGCAAAGCGCATGCAATTATTTCTATATATACAATGCATCATTGCGAACATATTTAGCCGTTAACACAGTATATTAGAAAACAAGAAACTCGGCACTTACGACCGTTGTTCCGCGTTATTATTTGGTCATTTCGTACGAGTAACTAAACACTCGTTTACACCAAAACACGCTCCTTCAAACCTTACTCTCGCACGCAACACTCCCTCACACTCAACACTCCCTCACACTCGACACTCCCTCACACTCAACACTCCCTCACACTCGACACTCCCTCACACTAGACACTCCCTCACACTAGACACTCCCTCACACTAGATACTCCCTCACACGCAACACTCCCTCACACTCAACACTCCCTCACACTCAACACTCCCTCACACTAGTTTGCGGGTCTGGCGACGATGGTCCCTGTAAGTTTGTTGGTAACACTGGTTGGAGGATCCTCCCTGTCGGTCGACTGGTGGTGGTGTTGACTGTGTCCCTCAGCCGATTCGACCCGCCTTGGCCCGCCTCGACCCGCCTCGGCCGAGGCTTATGAGAGTATCCCGGCCAATATGACCTTAGGTAGCTCCACCTGTGTCGCAGTTATGAGTGAGTTTACTGAGTGTTTGTCAAGATGAAACCCCCCCTGACGAACAGGACATTGTGAGGTGGTGAGCTGCTACGTCAGCAGCAGCAGCAGCAGCAGACCTCAGCAGCAGCAGCAGACCTCAGCAGCAGCAGCAGCAGCAGCAGCAGCAGCAGCAGCGTCACCATCAACAGATGAGAGGCAGCCAACACAGACACACACACACACACACTGGCCGTTATTATGACAGCAGATAATGCCATATGAAGACTTAACTTCATGCCACGCTCTCTAAGACGGTAATTGAAAGTCAACATTAGATAAGCCAGTCAAGTATAGGGGCGCTGGAGCTATTGTGGGTCTGGCAGTGATGTGGCGGGTGTTGTCACCGCTCCAGGGCGGTGTTGTCGGTCTGGCAGTGATGTGGCAGGTGTTATCACCGCTCCAGGGTGGTGTTGTGGGTCTGGCAGTGATGTGGCAGGTGTTATCACTGCTCCAGGGCGGTGTTGTTGGTCTGGCAGTGATGTGGCAGGTGTTATCACCGCTCCAGGGCGGTGTTGTGGGTCTGGCAGTGATGTGGCAGGTGTTATCACCGCACCAGGGCGGTGTTGTCGGTCTTGCAGTGATGTGGCAGGTGTTATCACCGCACCAGGGCGGTATTGTGGGTCTGGCAGTGATGTGGCAGATGTTGTCACCGCTCCAGGGCGATGTTGTGAGTCTTTCAGTGATGTGGTAGATGTTGTCACCGCTCCAGGGCGATGTTGTGAGTCTTGCAGTGATGTGGCAGATGTTGTCACCGCTCCAGGGCGGTCTTGTGGGTCTGGCAGTGTTGTGGCAGGTGTTGTCACCGCTCCAGGGCGCTGTTTTGGGTCTTGCAGTGATGTGACAGGTGTTATCACTGCTCCAGGGCGGTGTTGTGGGTCTTGCAGTGATGTGGCAGGTGTTATCACTGCTCCAGGGCGGTGTTTTGGGTCTTGCAGTGATGTGGCAGGTGTTATCACTGCTCCAGGGCGGTGTTGTGGGTCTTGCAGTGATGTGACAGGTGTTGTCACCGCTCCAGGGCGGTGTTGTGGGTCTTGCAGTGATGTGGCAGGTGTTGTCACCGCTCCAGGGCGGTGTTGTGGGTCTTGCAGTGATGTGGCAGGTGTTGTCACCGCTCCAGGGCGGTGTTGTGGGCCTTGCAGTGATGTGGCAGATGTTATCACCGCACCAGGGCGGTATTGTGGGTCTGGCAGTGATGTGGCAGATGTTGTCACCGCTCCAGGGCGATGTTGTGAGTCTTGCAGTGATGTGGCAGATGTTGTCACCGCTCCAGGGCGATGTTGTGAGTCTTGCAGTGATGTGGCAGATGTTGTCACCGCTCCAGGGCGGTGTTGTGGGTCTGGCAGTGTTGTGGCAGGTGTTGTCACCGCTCCATGGCGCTGTTTTGGGTCTTGCAGTGATGTGACAGGTGTTATCACTGCTCCAGGGCGGTGTTGTGGGTCTTGCAGTGATGTGGCAGGTGTTATCACTGCTCCAGGGCGGTGTTTTGGGTCTTGCAGTGATGTGGCAGGTGTTATCACTGCTCCAGGGCGGTGTTGTGGGTCTTGCAGTGATGTGACAGGTGTTGTCACCGCTCCAGGGCGGTGTTGTCGGTCTTGCAGTGATGTGACAGGTGTTGTCACTGCTCCAGGGCGGTGTAGTGATGCTGTCATCTGTGGATGCCGTGACGCCGCGCTAGAGACGAGATGAGTGATGGACCTCGATAATATTTACGTGGTAAATAAACTCCGGTGGGAATTTCAATAATTTGTTGTCCAATTTGCATGTTGATATAATTTAAGTCGGAATTTGCACATGTTATGGATGTATAATCACCTGTCGTTAGGCGGTAATCATTTACCGTTGTTGTTAACAATGCTCAGCTGTTAGAGTCGTAATTATGCAAACTACTACTCATGGTCAGCCTGTCCTCGACCAATTCGTTACAAATACGACGCATTAGTCAGAATTCGAACACCGTTATTTTGACGTTTTCTAGGCATCGGCGTGTTAGGTGGGTTGCTTGGGTTAGGCAAATTTTTTTTTACGGAGTGAGGAATGGAGAACAGGCTGGTCGAACAGCTGTCTATCTCAGGTAGAACAAGGCTCGTTATTGACTACAAGCGTAGGTCAGCGTAGCCTCATAGGCCGTACATACGTCTCGTCTGTCCTAGGTTATCTAGAGGTTATCTAGAGATGATTTTGGGGCTTTTAGTGTCCCCGCGGCCCGGTCCTCGACCAGGGTCTCCACCCCCCAGGAAGCAGCCCGTGACAGCTGACTAACACCCAAGTACCTATTTTACTGCTAGGTAACAGGGGCATAGGGTGAAAGAAACTGTGCCCATTGTTTCTCGCCGGCGCCTGGGATCGAACACAGGACTACAGGGTCCAGCGTGCTGTCCGCTCGGCCGACCGGCTCCTGACCGGCTTTAGATGAAGAGCTTGTTGTAGAACATCCTGGGGGCACTTTACCTCTCCTTCAGATCTCGCTCAGTCGTATTTACGGTGAGTATTAGTGCGAGCGTCTTTGTCACACCTCGCCTTAAGGCTCATTTTTAAGTCCACTCTCAGCTGAGCTAAAACGCCGCTTATCGTACACCGTCATCCTGCACTCGTGACGTCACACGTAAATATAAACAATGGAACGGTGTTGCCATTTGTCTAAAAACTATTTTTGGGAGGATTTTGAGCTAAACTTATTTATAGTTAAGTTTCTAGCGGATATATTTGGGCAGCCCGTCCTCATAAACAAAGACCAAAGTCCATTCCATGCACCCGCCAACCCCCTCCCCTATTTATGAATGAAACAGTTTACACACGACTCACAAC